GCAACTATAGTGGCTTTTGCGGATGCCATATTGCAGTACGACGCGCCACTATAGTGACTATCGTGGATAACCTCTTTTCAAATATATTATATTTAATTTTATTATTAATTATTAAAGTAAATAGTCAAAGTGAAAGTATATGTGTATTATTTGTTTAAAAAAAATTATAATTTAATCATCATAAACTAAACTCCAATACACTCGCGTAGAGAACAACATTGTTCACATGTTCATCGTCACACATTGTAGTTGAACCCTGTCGTACAAAGAAACCAGTCGTGCTTAAGAGATTAAGGAATATTTGTCTGATTTATTTAAAATGATTTAACAAAATAAAATAAACAAAAGATAAAAGTAACAAGAAAAGAAAAGAAGGAGGATAAAAACGAATTGAAATTTAACGCGGGAATCTTATCATCCCCAGCAGGGAAGGAAGGAAGATAGGGTGGGAGCTTTAGGTTTGTTTTTTATGTTAACTTGACGTCAGTCCCAGGAGCAATCGAGTCAATTGAAATTCGTATCGCGCACGTATTCGGTGTAATAAGGTCCTCTATACCATTCTGGCTTTGTCCATCGTGTGTACGAGGGACAGGGGGGGGGGGTGTGGGAGTGTTTGTATCGATCCTCGAAAAGTGGGAAGAGAAATAAAGAGACAAAGGGAGAAGAAAAGTAGCGTTCAAACGGATTGCTGAAAAGCACTTGCAATCTTTTTTTCGTAACAACAGGGATGGGGGTGGTCATCGGGTGTTTGATCGACACTGAGGGTTATCCTAAAACTTATTTGTAGAAAGGAGGGGGACTAAAGTAAGCGAGGATAAGTAGTTTTCCCTTTTTCGGCTCGAATGACGTTGAGCTTTCAAACTACCCTAACGTTAATAATGATTAGCTTGTTATACCGTTCGTAAATCCATTCGTTTTCGCTCTCACTTGGAAAAGCCTATTTACCAACAGCAACGAGTTAAACGTGTTCAAAGTAAGCGAGGATAAGTAGTTTTCCCTTTTTCGGCTCGAATGACGTTGAGCTTTCAAACTACCCTAACGTTAATAATGATTAGCTTGTTATACNCATATATATATATATATATATATATATATATATATATATATATATATATATATATATATATATAGAGAGAGAGAGAGAGAGAGAGAGTTTGTTAACAACTAGGAAAGATTAAGAGGGGGTACATTTTAAGTGCATTAAGATCATTCAAAGAAAAAAGCATTGCAGTTGAGAAAAGAAAGTGTGAGACAACTTCGAACACTTTATTTGACTAGTTACTTACTCGGATGATAGGGGGATAATATAATCTCCATACGTATGAACGTATAGAGAAGATTAAAGGAAAAGAAAAAAGAAGAAGAAAATAAATCGACATTGGTGACAATTACATTTGACGATCAGTTTCATTGAACAGTGTAATTTTACTCAACGGTGCGAATTAATTAGCTAGATATTAACGCTTTAATGGCTGCTCACACAACATGTGTGTGATAGCTGGAACATTGGCCGTTATTTTATTTATAACTGTATATATATTTAAAATTATATATAAAATTAAATTTGTGTTGTTTTTTATTTTATGTTAATTTGTCCGTAAATAACAATAAAGTTTTTTTTTAAATTAATTCTTGAAAAATATAACCGGGCCCTGGACGACGTTTAACTGCGTACACGTGCGGCCCCATTAAAGTGTTAATAATAATTTACCTAGAGATGAAATTCTTTAATAAGTTTTACCAGTAGCTAAGTGTCCACATCATGATGATCCTAGAAATTATTGCAAAAAGTTCTTTTTTAATGGGATATCTCAGTTGTCATGATTTTCGTTCAACTTAAGAAAAAATGGGTATAGAAAGGAAAGCTGCTGACTAGTCACTTGAAAGGACGATTGAACAAGACCACCAAGTGGACATCCAATGGTAGACAGTAATAGTCTCTGCAGTATATCCCGTATTTACCGAGTCCATGGCCACGATCGAAGTTGCTCGAACGAGACCAGAGATAAATGCCACTTACAACATGCAGCGTTTCATGAACACGACTATTGAAAAGTAGTAATAGTTACTTCAACGCAAGATTAATTCCTGATCATCCTCTAACTGCACATCATCTTTTTTTTTATTTTTTTATTCCACCCTTCGTCTTCTTTTAACCGAATACGATCGATAACGTTCATTTTCTTCCATTCATTTATCTTACATTAGAAACGACTATAAAGTGCAAGTTTTCTTTCATCTATCGCAAAATGGTACTCATCATGAAAAAACGTGGGGTGAACGATAATAAAATAAAACTTTGACTTTCTCATTACTAGGGAAGTCAGGGGGGGGGGCGTTAAAGGATACTAATAAAATAAGTATAAAGTATCGATATTAAAGCACGTAAATGGAATTTTTCTTTATTATCTTTTTTTTTAATGACATTTCGAACTTTATCGTTGAAATTTGAATTTTCAGAATATAAAAGTCACAGCTCGTCCCTTTTTTCTAAAATAAGCATTTTTTTTATCTGATATTTCTTGACGTCCCATATATTGTCACACGAACGAATAAACATTTTAACAAATATCATATAAAAATCAAATCACACACACACAATACACCATAATCGGCATTACATATTAAGTCTACCGGAAAATTGTGAAAATAAAATAATAAATTACTCCTAATTTGAACAATTAATCAATTTAATTACTTTTGAACTCTTGCTAACATGTATATTCAATTTTAAGAAATGGGGCCTTACCCCTAGTGACAAATAATTTAACTAATATTTTTTTAAACGGACATAATAAATAAAATAAAGTCACACAAGTATTATTGGCGCGATATTTGAAAGGTTATTCTTAGGATATATTGTAAATGCTCGTCACGTGATCGACTTCATTAAGATCTGAGGTAGATTTAGAGTCTAACGATAGAAACGAGTAGAGAATTCACTTCCCTGACATAACGAAATTGAATCGTCGAGTAATTTCCCCCTAATGCACGGGTCTTGTCCAGTCCGGAAACGAACGAAGCAGCAGTTCGAAGCAGTCCCGCAAAAAGTACCAAAATCTTCCTTCTGATAGGACGCCTGGGGACTGTAAGTATTACGAGACACGTTTCTGCTCTGCTCTGTGCTATTTCTCGACCCTCCGTCATGAAATTTTATAAAAGATATAACCAAACATTCCCCTTTTCTTGTACGCAGCTAGGATAAGGAAAGCATATCTATCATTCGATAGGGTGACAGATGGTTTCACATGCATGTTTTTAAAGAAAAAACATGGCCTTTCCTCAAAAAAAAAAAAAAGACATACCCTTACACTTACTTTCAAAAGTATATTTTATATCAAAAATAAACGATGATTTATAATATCTTTTGGAAAATCATACTTTTAATATTAAAAGCACAAAAGATAATCTTGATAATCTATTAAATATGCACCAAGTGAAGACTTTATCCAAGATGGCGTCAAAACAAGCTTTCATACACTTTCAGGTTGATATGCATAATACTATACCACGGTACTACTCCACAACCTTCCTACCTTCTTGCAACTTGATGCATTTTTGCGCGTTAGTTAAAAGGAAGAAGGTGGAAAATAAGAGAGTTCCTTCCTTCCTTCCTTCCTTCCGATCGACCAAAGTGTTTCTTCTTTTAAATCTTGAAAAAGTTTCGACAACAATAGCGAGACTACTACTAACAGCTTGCTTGTAATGAGGAAGTGGCCCGAAAAGATTCGGAGCTCTTGCTTTCTTGCCAAATAGATGAACAAAATTAGATAGTTCCTAGACTCCTCACTTATTTTCACCGACCCCAATAGGGGGAATGTTTTAAGGTAAATTAGATTGTGCGAAAGGGGAGAAACAGGAAGAAAATTGTTTTCTCAAGACTGAATTATAATTATTTCATTATAGAATACAATCCAAAGTATTATGCATAAAATAATAATAATAAAACATTTCTCTAAATGATAACTAATAAATAAAAATAAATGAATCGTTTTAATCAAGAATGAAATAATAATAATAATAAGGAAAGAAAGAAATGATAGTTTAATGGGGGTAATCAAAATGATCGGTATGAGCATAGGAAAAGATATGATTTGCTGGATGGCAGGTACACACGTTTACTTGTTCGTCGTTCGACGTTGTAGTGCGCAAATTACGAAAGCCGAGGACGTGCTTGAAAGACTCTACGACCTTCCCATAGCACGTTGATAATGCACTACCAACCTAGAGGAGGAATGCGATCGAGCTTTCTGCTGCGATATTATGTAAACATGGAATAACTTTATTGAAAGGAATTACACCATCCTCCGATGCTAATGGCATTCTCCCTATAGATATATATATATATATTTTCTTTCTCATTCTTTCTCATTCTTTCAACGTGCAAAAAACTCTTATTTCAACTCACGAACATCCTCCTCCTACGAAAATGTGACCTTCGTCTAGAGACGTATAATCTCGTAGATTTTCAAGTGAAATAAGACGATTTCAACGTAAAAATCTTCCCCGATAATGTTCACCCTAGGTAATATAAAAAGGGGTTCAACACGTTCCCTGAATTTTAATAACAGACTTGTAAAAGAAGACCAAATAAATGATTTTCTTTTAAACATAAGAAAGGTAAGTAATAATAATATATAATTATATATTAATATAATATATAAGTATTATATGTATACATATTATATATTTATAATACTATTAATATTATTAATAATAATAATATTTTTATAATTTATAAATTTATATAATAATATTATTATTATATAAAATAGTATAGTATTATAATTATATTAATTAATTAATTAATTATAAATTTGTTGAGACAATTAATCAACCATTTACAACAAATCTTAATTATATATTATTTATTACTTTTTCAAACGCAAGAAAATCTTTTTAAAATATTTGGAAATTGAAAGATTTTAATTTGAATGAACATTAATATTGAAAACACCATAATCACATATTTATTAAAATAATGAACAATATTGACTCACCTCTCATGTAAATGTAAGCAGTACCCCGCATATTTCTTCTCGTAAGTACAAGCAGATTCAACATGTTACCGATAATACCCAAGCAACAGATGGCAGGTAGAACGATGCTATAACTGATTCTTCTAAGGGTCGGTGTCCTAGGATCCTCTAGGATCTCCTGATCCTCCATCGAAAGGCAAAGACGTCCACCACTCACATTCAGGGTCTCCTCCATCGCTTATCCTTTCTTCTTTTTTTACTTTTCCTTTTCCTTTTTCTATAATCCAAGTTTTCATCGAAACAAAGAGGGATTATCCGTCTCCATTAAATCTCACGTTAGTTTTACGAACTATGCCTGCAACGATGCGGTCAATCCCTGTTCTTTGATCGATCGGCATCATTTTAATTCTCATTTCTAGTGGAACAATCGAATATTCGAGATTATCGTTCGAACAAGTCGGTAAAAATGAAAATAAATCGATGAACTTCATTTTGAAATCCGAAATTATTACAACAAACTAATTTTGTTGATAAATATATATATTATCATCTATTTTTATCTGGATCGATTATAAATTTATCTTATGTTTGATACAAAGGGGATTAATTCAACCCTATCCTTTTTTTATTTTTCAATGATGCAGTAGGATAGGTGTCCTAGGTATTCCAATGAATTGGAAATCGTTTGTCGAAACGCACGTGCCAAGCAACAGGTTTGAGAGACGAAACTTTCCTAGAATTCTCTCTTCTCTCTCTCTCTCTCTCTCTCTCTCTCTCTTTCTCTTCTCTACTTTTCTCTTTTATTCTCTTCCCTTTCCTCTCTCTCAAAGAATGCCGCTTATCTTTTTATATTCGTCGATTTTACTTGACTAACGTATAACGTGTACAGGTACCGCCAGCATTTATTTTACTGAGGAATCTGAACATTTTCTTCCCGATGATTTGTACGCTGACATTTTTGATCATTCGACGATGAAGAAAATGACATTCGCGTGTTCCTAAAACAAATAAAAGCGTTTTGTTAATTAATCAATGCATTCGAAACCCCATTTGCACATTGTGTGTACAATCATACTAAATTATTATCAGTTATTTTGAGTAAAGTATTTATCAAGGTAAGAATTTATTTTTTGTATAAATAAATAGTATTTTTAAAGTATAAAAGAACAAAATTTGGTGTTGTAAAAACAAAATGGCACCTTGGAAGAACGGTGTTCGAGAAAAGTCATGGTCTCGAATATAGGTTAGGGATAGATACGCGAAATTCAAATTTATTATTTCATATTTGATACAATTTCGAATGAGTCATTGAAATTATATCAAAAACTATTTATATATTTTTTATTTTATTATTTATATTTTTTATAGATTCTTTTTTATTATTTTATGTTATATTTCGTTTAGAAATTTCATATAGTTTCGAAACAAAGTATAATTATATTAATGATTGATCGAAATAAATGTAATTTATCACAAAATGGTGTTTAGGGATTTAGGAAACTCTTAGGAAAAAAAAATCACGTATCAGAAGTTACAAAAAGTTTTTTCATCGAGTGCTTGCTACCCTAACGCGAAGTATACCAAGTTTAGTAACGTGTAACGATCTATTTCCTCTGTTACGAGAGGATATTCCACTTTTACGATAACCCTTTATACCTTGTGTAACAATTCCGATAAAGGATAATGTTATCGGTATGAAACGTTAATGTCCTAAGGAACATCTCTTAAGGAGGACCATCTAACCAAGTGTTTCGATCCTCTCTGTTGGAGGTTTCTTCTTAAACTACATATTATTTATCTATACGAGAAAATAAAATCACAGAGAAAAATCATAAAAATTTGCTTATCAGAGTTAAACACAAATTGGCCATTACCAATAGTAGTCCCAAGGAGTTCAAATTTTAATACAGTTTAGATCAAAAGTCAAATATTTCAAAGTTCTTCCAATTTTTGGAAAGTAAAATCAAATTACAATCTCTTCCTTATTTTTTTCCACCCCTTACGTTAAACCTTATAAAAAGATAATTCTAAGAATTCGCCGGCATTAACAAAGAAAATCAAATACGTGAGAATGCAAATTACAATCTTCCTTATTTTTTTTTCTACCCCCTCTTATGTTAAACCCGATAACAAAATAATTCTAAGAATTCGTTTAAAAAAAACAAATAAATAAAAGAAAGAAAGAAAGGAAACAAAAAATCAACTCGTTCGAGTCTAAAACAATTTTCATTTGGTAGGCGTCGAGAGTTGCAATAACGTTGAAAAAAAAAAGGAAAAAAAGGAAGCCAATAGTAGTAGTAGTAGTAGTAGTAGTAGAGGAAACACGTGACAGCGTTATAGTTCACGAGAGAAATCCGTTAGAGGGATACCAAACTACGCGCGGGGCTATTAATTTTCGGCTAGAAAGTTTGTGGGTAAAATTTCGCTTGATCGGTCTTAGTAAAAGAGAGAAAGAGAAAGAGAGAGACTAGAGGAAAGGGGAGAGAAAAGGGGGTAGATTTAGGGTAGAAGAGAAGAGTTATTGTTCCAACAAGGGGGAAAGTGGTACTCGTGTGCGATTTTGCGGCGTGCCCGAGGACTTCTGACTCCAAACTACGATGCTAAAAGTTTTGCGCTAATTTTCTCCTTTCTCAAATCCCCTGTATACGTGTTGTAAAACACAAAGAAATATACGTTCAATTGAACATTGTTTTACTAAAATTATTCTTTTTACAAATTAGTTTGATTAAATTCTAAAAATATTGTACTATTTTTGTGTTCAAATTACTTTGCATTAGAAAAATATTAACACAGCTTGTATAGTTTTCTTGTTTACCTTGTATAAACTGTAAAACAAATTATTTAAGGACCCTTCTTTTATCCTTTTTTATTTTTTTATTTTTGACTATTTCTTTCTCGAAAGAAAAAAAACTCGATGAAAGTTTCAGCAAGAGCACAAGTCCTCTCGCATATATTTCTTCATAGGATAGTATAAGTCGACTCACACACACACACACACGGAGTAACAAGAAAGGAACAAGATCTCTGGTTGGATCGTTAGAAGAAATTCGTTGGAGAAAGAGAAGATAGGCTAAAGATAGGGAACACTTTTTGTGTACTTTCGTGATGAGTTTCATCGTCGTTCTTCCGATCCGTTAACACTGGAGAACGACGACCAATGGTACTCTTCAATTCGTTTATTTCTCCTTCTTTCTCTTTCTCAACTAATTTTCGTTTTAGAAAAAATTGCACAAAATTCTTCATCAATATATTAAAACATATTACAACCGATTATTCCCAAAATAAATTGAAATATTTACCTAATTATATGTATGTGTGTGTGTACATTAACTTTATTGTGCAATGTTTACTAAAAAAAAGTAAGAAAGTAATGTATAATAATATTCTACTGTGTTTAACGTTTGTTTGTTTTTTTTCTTTGGAAGAGAAAGAGTTGTAGGAAAAAGGTATTATGTAAGTTGAAGCTGTTATACCGGGTGCAAACTCTTGGTCTTGGTCAGAGTTTGGATCGACGCGTAAAACCTTTTCACCTTACACTACCCTTCTTTTCTCTTTGTCTTTGGTGTTAACAAACCTTCGAACTATGACACGTGGTGCTTCCAGAAGCTACGAACTTTTTTTATTCATCCTGTACATTCGAATCTTCCCCGTGTTGATTTTACAATCAAGACAAATCCAAACGAACCTTTCGTTCAATCGAAAAGGATTGTTTTTATAACCTTAGTTAATTATTATTAGTAGTAGTTATTTATTATATTATATTTAATTATAATTATATTTTTTATTATTTATATAAATATATAACAATATATAATAATGTAATATAGAATAATATACTATATAAAAATAAATAATATATAATATAATAATACTTAGATAGGATCAAATGAGACGATCTTGATCCGTGATCTTGTACTATCCAATGATTAGAAATTTCGTGGAAACTCCTGTTAACTCGATGGAGTATTTAACTAAAGCGATGAGAGAGAGAGAGACTCTCCTCTCTCTCTCCCATTGGTAAGCAAAGAGGAAGTCACCAGGCACGCTCTGCTGCTTGCGAGATTAACTTCGACTTATCCGAAGGGATAATTTGTCGGTCTAAAGGAACGGATACGCTCGACGCGTAAGGGTTGTGAGAGAACGTCTTCGAAGGTTCGGAGGGATGCCATGGAAGGATAAGAAGGCAAGAGGGAGACTAAGTGGGAGGAAATGTGGGAGGTGTTCAGAATGTTGCCTGAAGCTACTTGCCACGTTAGGATGGAAAGCTTAGCTGGTGCTGGTAGTGGTGATGATGATGGTGGTGGTGGGACCCCTCTTTCCAACTACTAACGTCTTCGTAGGGGATGTATCGGACGCGACGAACGAAGTACTCCCTCGTGAATCTCCTTTACGAGCATCAAAGGTCTCCCTTCCATCCTCCAACCCCCTTTTCAGAAACGTATTGAGAAATATACGAATAGAAATATAATTACTTTATTATCAAGTGTCCTGTACAATTCTGTACAATCATAGGACTCTTGTATAATCTAAAACAAAAATAAGAACATTTTTTATCGTTTAAAAATAAAATGAATCGAATTAGTTGGATTAAAAAAAAAAGGAATTTATTGATCGGGTTGAAGCAATTTGACTGAAGGGGGTAAAGGATGGTGTAGAAAATGTGTGAGTCCCTTTAGACAAATTGATACCGCTTCGTTCCAGACGCACGTTTTACACCAAGATACTCTACCAACGACCACGACCAAACCCATTGGTCGTTCTATCAAAAACAGTCGAATGCAAGAACTACGACTACATTTGACGACATAGAACGTTTCAACTTATCACAAAAGATATCACAAGGGAACAATAAATAATCAGAATAAATTCATTTTTCTTTAGAGATATGAATTCTTTTTTCTATCGAATTTCTACCTTCAATGCACGTGCGTTACCGGTTACCGGAAATAAGAAAGAAAGAGAGAGAGAGAGGAAGAAGGGCTACGTGAAATTGTAATCCGCATTTCTTCGAGATTAGATTTTATTTTTTGTAATATAAAAGAAAATGTTGATCCTTCCTATATTTTTTATGTTTAATAAGATTAAGAGAATATTCGATAAGTTTGTTCTGAAAATGTGCACCCTTTGCACTCTTTGCACTCGAGGGTTCCATTATGGAGACAATAAATAAATAAAAAAATTAAAAACTGATGCAAATTCAATTTACAAATTAATTTACAACATATCAAGTACGATTTTTCTTTTAACCCTTTTAGTTCTGAAAACTTTTACCTAAAATGTTTTTTATGTAACGTAATAATTAAGCAAATTTTAATATAATATTAATTATAATATTTAATAATAATGTTCATATAATTTTATTAATAATAACCAAATATATAATAATAATTTTAATAATTTAATAATATATTAAAATAATAAAATTATAAAATAAATAATTATATTAATAATTAAAGTTTAGGTTTCTGTGAATATAATTGAAATTAATTAATATAAACGTTACATTATTT